GCCTCTCTAAAAGGAGACGGGCTTTTGCCAACTCGTGCTTTTTTACCCTTGTGGCACTATATGGCAGGATGACTCACATTGGAAGTCTGGAACTTCTTCTGGATTTGTCTGTCTTTTATTTCTGTTGCCCAAATCTGGCACTCAACTCTAACAGGTCCCTAAAGAACACCGCATTTATTTTCTCTGTGTGCCTGTTTGTTTCAAGTCTGAGGTCAACCTTAGGTGTTATTCCTCAGGTGCCATCCACCTTGTACTTTGAGACAGGATCCCTCATTGGCTCAGAACTCACTGAGTAGATTATGTTGGTTGTCTCCCCTAGTTGGGAATCTCTATGCCAGCAAGCTAGAACTCACTGGGTAGTCCCGATTGTCACTGAACTCCCTTCCTACTTCATCTTCCTGGGTCTGTAGAAGCTAGTGACTAAATACTATGAAGTCGCTGTCCCCTACCCCTGACTCCTGTTCAGGGATTTGGACCAAAGGCCTCGTGCATCTGTGCATTCTGGGCAAGCACTGTACCTCTGACTACATCCCCAGACTGGAACTAGCTCTGTAGACCAGGCTGGCCTTGAATTTAAAGAGATCTACCTGTCTCTGGCTCCCGAGTGCTGGAATTAAAGGCCCATGTCACCAAGCCCGACTTTAATCTACTTTAAATCAATTCTTTCTGCTGTCTCTCTCCAAGGCCCTGACTCCACAACCTGGCCTCCCGCTCCTCCTCTGTGGTACTTCCCGTCTTGCCATGCCATCACTTCCAGAGTGACTCATGCCAGGCACACATCTTATCAAGCCACGGCTCTGCAGGCCTCTTCTCCCCGTGTTTCTGTAGCTCCACACTTGCAGGATGAAGCTCATACTTCTTGGCATAGACCCAGCTGAGCTGAACAGCTGTGTGCTTCTGCTCCCTTCCTAGACCCGAGGCCCCAATCATACCAGACCCAGTCACAGAAGGACACATAAAGGTCATAGGTCATACACATCAACCCTAGGCTTTTCTCCCTCTAACACTTTCTTCTTTCTCCTTAATTCCTTCCATCCTTTCAGCCACCCAGTGGTCACTTCCCTACTTAAGAAAGCATAATCCATACTCCCTTTGGCCCAAGAGAATCCTGGATTTCTCTTCTTACCTCAGGAACAGTTTAATGGACAGGCCTTGTCATGTTTGTTCACTTGAGTGTCTCCCTGACAAGGGGCTCCCCTGTGAGTGCCTCTGAGTAGAGAGTAAATTATTTATGACCTGAGAGTATAAGTACAGTGCCTAGCACACAGTAGGTGATCAATAAACGTTGAATGAATAAGCCACCTGGTCTCTTCTGTCTTGGCTGCGGACCTACATACTTGTGAGTCAGGTGGCTTTGACAACACAACCATGGCCAGCGCAACAAAGAACTCAACTTTGCCCTTAAGAACAATGAGCTTTAGACACTAGAGCTAATGGGCTGCATATTAAGATATTTCAAGACCACGCTTTCCTTGACAATGTTTCTATGTGCTCTGCATCTGGAGACGGTTGGGAAGTTCAAATAAATGATTAGAACATGTAAAACAGACCCATTAAGTAATCTGGATCATTTCCTGAAGAAGAGAAACTCAAAGAGACTTAATAATGGTTGTTAATGAGAGGAGAGAGTGTGCTCCAAGGATGGCTAAGTCTCTCCATGAAGACAAAAGTGAAGGCCAAGACTGAAGTACGTGCAAGGCACAAATTAAAAATAAAATAAAACAAATCAAAACAACAACAACAAAACAGCAGACACTGGAGAGACGGCTCAGTGGTTAAGAGCAGTGGCTACTCTTACAGAGGACCCTGGTTCAGTTCCCAGCACTGACATGGCAGCTCACACCTGTCTGTAACTCCTGTTCCAAGGTTTGTGGCACCCTTACACAGACATACATGTGAGCAAAACACCAATGAACATAAAATAAAAATAAATTATATATATATACACACATTTATATATATATATATTATAATCTCTCATTGGTTTCCTATTGGGTTGTGTAGCCCATTTCAGCTTACTATTATAAATTACTCACACAGGGTCAGCAATATGGCCTGGTGGATAAAGCTACTTGCCACCAAGCTTGATGACCTGAATTTAATCGTTGGAACCCACATGGTGGAAGGAGAGACCCAACTCTCACAAGCCGTTCTCTGCTTATATTCATGCAATACATATATACACAAATAACATATTTTAAATATAATAAAAATCGGTAGATAGGGCCAGTGAATGATAGCTCAGTGAGTAAAAGCACTTGCTGCCAAGACCGATGCCCTGAGTTCAATCCCCGAAACCCACAGTAGGAGAGGACGGATTCCTGTAAGCTGTCCTCTGACCTCCACACTCGCCCTGTGACACACACACACATAAAAACAGCTGACTAAGTAAATAACCCTCACTGCACTGGGTGTGCAGATCAGACACCGGCCCTGAGCATTTCCCCACTACATCATCTGATTTATCAGTGGGCCCAAGCCAGTGCCTCTTATTTTGTTATTTCCATTTCATAGGCAAATGAATGGAAGCCCGGGATGGTGAAGTAACTTACCCAGGTCACACAGGTGACAAGTCATAATGGGGGATTGCGATTGGTGTTCTTTGTTTTTCCTTACTGCCTTGCTAGAAGCTGAAATGATGTCAGGCTTTCACTGATGGGAACCCAAGGTTCCAGGAATCTCAGTAAGCCCATGTGACTGCTTTTTTTTTTTTTTTTTTTTTTTTTTTACGAGACAGGGTTTCTCTGTATTGTTTTGGAGGCTGTCGGTCCAACCTGGCCTCGAACTCACAGAGATCTGCCTGCCTCTGCCTCCTGAGTGCTGGGATTAAAGGCGTGCGCTACCACCGCCCGGTCCCATGTGACTGCTTTAAGTTCACCTTCCTTCTCTCTTTTTCCTCCTTGTTCTTGTTTAAATTTAGGATCTCACCATGTAGCCCAGGATGGCCTCAAACCTGCAGTGAAGCTCAGGTTAGCCTTGGACTCAAGATACTGCTGCTAGCCGGGTGGTGGTGTTGGCCCACGCCTTTAATCCCAGCACTCGGGAGGCAGAGGCAGGTGGATCTCTGTGAGTTCGAGACCAGCCTGGTCTACAAGAGCTAGTTCCAGGACAGTCTCCAAAGTCACAGAAAAATCCCCCCCCCCAAAAAAAAGATACTGCTGCCTCGGCCTCATGAATGCTGGGATTGTGAGCATGTGCCACAACAGCTGACTTAGCTTCAATTTAACCAAGGAGATTCTTGGTTATACCAAGAGTCTGTCATTGCTAGAGTAACTACCTCTTTTCGGTATTCATTGTACTAGTGTGTGTGTGTAGAAAAATAAGAATATCCATTTTACTATATCTTTTTTGCTGAGTCATAATACATTGACATCAAACTCCTGGGCTCAAGTGGTCCTCCTGCCTTAGTGCCTTAGCCTTCTGAGTGGCCAAACCTGCAGAAGCATGTGCCTGCTGTCTTCACCGGGCTCTATGGCACCTGATCCTTTCCCCATTCTTTGTCCTGGAGAGTTGGCTTACCAATTCTCACTTTTCTAATAAGACAGAAGTTGAAGTTGCTTTTTTGTTTTGCTTTGGGCTGTCAGGGCCTATATGTTTCAGCATCCACATGCGTGCATGTGTTTATAAGACCTGACATCAATCGAGTCCTATTTAGTGATTCTGACTTTACCCCCAGAGAGATAGCTCTTGCTGTAGGGGCCAAAGAGCTGGCATCTTCTTCCCTGTTACTTTTTTTTTATTTGCAAGGCAACCTTGTTTATCCTGCCTCGGGGATATGCACAGTGGGGTCACAGTCAGTACAGAACAGGGGACAACTTGTCACGTAACTCAAAGGCAACTCTAAAGTCTGTGCCCAGAAAGTCAGCATTCATCAGCCGGGTGGAAGCCAGAGGGATGGAGCGCTGAGCTTCACTGAGTAGCAGAGGCCTGGGGCCAGTTCAGGAGAACTGCAGCAGCCCACAGGAGCCCCTCAAGAAGGATGTGAATGAGTCACCCGACTTCTCAGGTTGACTGAGATAACTTCTGTAGATTTTTTTTAACCAAGTCACACCATCAGCACTTGCATATTGGGCATAACGGGAAGAAGAGGGGGGATTGCTTTCTTGACAGTGTCTGGACCTCAACAGGGTGATGATAAGATGGAGGGTTAGATGTGACTTTGCAAGAATAGTACAAGCAATGCATGAGTCCGTTGTGTGTGCTGGGGGTGCAGTGGCAAGCTGGTCTTCTTGGGAGGAAACACAGTGTTCCTGGAGCAAGTGTCCTTTGATATATCCCCATTGGTACATCAGAAGGCAACGTTCATTTACCCTTTGACCTCATATTCTGGGGAAAACACTTGCTTTTTTAACATTGAGTTCCCAGGATAATGAGATGAATTACTGACACCCTGTTTAAAACCTTGAGTTTTAGGAGTTCACATAATTTCTCTGGCCTCATTTTTTTTCTGTGTGTTTGTCTGTGTGTCTGTCTGTGTCTCTGTCCTGTCTCTCTTTCCAGATTCTCATTATATAGCCCATGTTGGCCTCAATTCACAGAGATCTGCCTACCTTTGCCTCCTGAGTGCTGGGATTAAAGTTGTGCACTGCCCTGAGCGGTTGTTTTCTTCTCCTTAAAATGGACATAATAATGGCTCTATTCTGTAGGGCAAGATTAAGATCAATGCATGGAAAGGACGGTATCTGGTAGATAGAGTAAGCTTGTATTTATGTTAATGTACATATTGTGAAGGGAAGGCAGTTGACAAGAGCCTAGAACAAAAGGAATTGTTCCTCCAGTAGGGTGTTGTCATCATAGTCATGATCCTTAGGAAATTCAGAACCTGACTCTACAAAACTAGTGATCCAAGTCCACAAACAGAGCTTAACTTTAGTCAGCCAAGCCTGTCCTTATTTGCATGATCATTATTTGCATAGAACTGCTTTGCACGGTAGAGATTATGTAACAAAAAATTGTGAGCACAGCTCATCTAACTTTCTAGAACTGTCACCGGCCAATGTGGACTGTTTTCTTTCACATGGCACAGACTACATGCCAGGAAACGATGCGAAGGAGACCCTGACTGACTCAAGGCACTTTTTCCCCACATGGAGATCTCATGGAAATTGTTACATACAACCTGCCCCTTCTAAGGTACACAACAGATTTCTTTATTCACAACTTACTGATTCTTCCTGAGTTGCTGTAGTAGCTGGCTGGATACATTTTTAATGAGGTAATCTAATACTTGCTAAGGGGAGCATCCCCAAACCTATTAAAAACAGATGCTTGGCACTTAAGTCTACAGTCGCCCCACAGGAATTTCGGGAAGAACATCTCCGCCCAGTAAGGGCAAGGGAGACTAAGGTTGTGTGTGACAGCAACAACAACAGCAATGTCACTGGAGAGTTAGGTTGGTGAGTGCCACACAGATTCAGGCAGGAGGGGCAATAACTCTTAAATAGAATAAAGAGATGGGTCTAATGTAATCAGAAACTTTAAAACTACATAATGTATGCTATTAGTGACTCAGTGCTGAATAAATATAAAAAGACAAGAGCCAAATCCCTGACCTGTAATCACCTCCTGGAAGTGGCCATTCTTTCAATGGTGTCTCCAACCAATAATGAACCATTTAGTATAAAGATATACAAGGAAAATGAAAAGAACGCACCTTTGGCACTGGGACAGTATGTCAAAAGTACTTTTGTATAAGGTCGAATCCTAGCAAATGGTTGTTTGGGGTGGGGGGTTAAAATTAGTCAGATTTTTATCAATTTCACACAGTTCAACCCAATACATTGAAGTTAATTGACACTAAATCAAGACACTTATATGACCTTGTCTTTTTACTGCCTTTTAACTATGACCATAAAATGAAATTGGCCAATTTTATGTCTTAGCCTCTTTGACCTTCTAGAATTTTTCCACGATAGATGCTAAATAAGTGTTTTGTTAATTGAGTGGTATTTTCTGTTATCTTGTCTCAAAAGCTAGGTCTGAATTTTGCTGTGCTACTTAAATTCTGAGGCTGTTCCTAAACTATAATTAATAAGGTGTTGGCTTCATTTCAGTTTTCATGATTTAGATAAATCTTTCCTGTTTCTTGTTTGGGCAGCTCCAGGAAGCTAATTAATATATTATTAATATATTTTACAGGCAAACAAGACTCTGCTTGCTCACACAGCCATGACAAGAATAAATTCAGGTCAGAAATATTTTTGCAATTATGGGAAAATGGTATTATAATAATGAAAAATTATTGTTTATATAACACAACTCTGCACATTAAAACACATTATAGACTAACAAGCAAGGTGAATGGTGGCCGGGCAAGCTCTTCCCAGAGGTGCCAATTACTCAGAGCCCAGTTGGAACACCAATGTGCCTGGCAATGAACTAAAAAAGATAACTTTTGGGCATCCCAGAAGAACTTCATTATTATCATTTGTTATTATTCATAAAAGGTTTCATAAGAGTTGTGGTTGATTCCAAACTTAGCAGGAATTTCTGATAACTGAGGTGGCAGCATGAATTCATTTTCCACTCACAAAATAAAATGCTCCTGGGCCTGGGGAATGTAACTGAGTTGGTAAAGTGCTTGCCTGGCAGGCATGAAGTCTTGGGTTTGATCTTTAATATCATAAACTGTGTGTGGTAGTGCATACCTGTAACCTTAGCCTTTGGAAGGCAGGAGAGTCACAAGCTCAAAGTTATCTTCAGCTGTATAGTGAGTGAGTTCCAGGCTAGCCTGGGGTGCATGGACCTAGTCTCAAATAGTTGAGGTGGGCTGGGTGGCGGCGGCACACACCTTTGATCCCAGTACTCAGGAGGCAGAGGCAGGTGGATCTCTGTGAGTTCGAGGCCAGCCTGGTCTACAGAGCGAGTTCCAAGACAGCCAGAGTTACACAGAGAAACCCTGATTCAAAAAAAGTGGGGGTGGGCTGGGAATACATAGCAAATATCTCTCACATGTGCTAGTACATGTGAGGCCCTAATTCTAGTTTCCAGCACCAGTGGAAGAAAATTCTATCATATACAGGGGTTTAAGAGATGTGGGCTGGTTAGGGAAGGCTGGACAGCCCATGAGTGATATATAGCACCTCTCCTGGGCCCCAGGTCCCCCTTATGTGTTAATTGCCTTCTGGAGAATATTCATTCTTTGTGAAATTTGTTGTTGTGTATATAAATGGACATCTTAAAATGCTGTGGGAGCCTGAGACAAAAAGGATATTATTGGGGTTCAGTTGCCTAGAGCTGGGACAGCAGCCATGCCACACACACAAATTCTGAGAAAACAGAATTGCTTTCGGTTTTGAAGAGAACCACAAACTCCTCTGTGTCTGAATCCCTCATGTGCACCAAACCCATGAGCATGGGAGGAGCTACCTACCCTTCTGAACTTCTCCCTTAAGGCCAAGGGTGTTCCGTGAATTTTTCTGTTCCTTTTCGGGCAGAGCCGTCAGAGTTCTGCTTGATTTGTGGCATCCTATGAGATCCCACCCCAGGAGGTGGGCTCTACAGCCTCCAGGTAATGCCGATGATAGCTTAGACTATCTAGGGCAATAACAGCTCCAAATACACCTAGAGGTGAATAGCTGGAATGCTGAGGAAAAAAAGTTATCCTATCACAGGAGCAACTTCCAGTGGTTTTGTTCAAGAGTTCTGATCCAAGTCGACAAAGACATGGAAAATACAGAAACCAGGCAATTCTCCATTTCCCTTTTCAGCACACTGAGAGCTCCCTGATTTGAGGAGTTTGGGGGAGTGTCGGAGAACAAGAAGCTGCTGGGGGTGATGGGGAGAAGGTATGTTGTTAGGAAAATTGGCTGGGGTTTGAGGTTAGGGGTATGTGCCAGGACTGTATTACACAGAGTTACTGAGGGCTGGGGAGGCTGCAGAAAGGGCAGGAGCCATGCTTCAGAAGTTGGGGTGAGGGCTCTGGGCCAATTCTTTATTACAGTAACAGCACATCTCCAATCCAGTATAACAATAAATCCCTTACAGGAGTATGCTCCCCATCACTACCAACACAATCACAATCTGTCCTCAACAATGCCAGCACTATAATACTTCTGGATCTTTTATCCAACTTCCCATTTCTGAAAATGATCTCTAATGTGCAGCAAAAGAGAGGCAATCAGAAGCCATTCTCGCCGATGGCTGTTTTAAATAACCAGAGTTACCCTTTGTTTGGGAGTACACATGTATTGAGCGCATGCATTGTACTTGGCAGTTGCTCTACAGTTAACCTTTTCAAAGAGGATTCCTTAAGAAGTCAGCTGGCCAAAATAAAACATCTGCTTTGCTAATGCATTAAAATAACAAAACAGGGACTGGGGAGATGGCTTAGGCCCTAAAGCATTTGCTACACAAATGCTCAGTACCCATCTTAAATCCAGGAGGCTCCTTGTGGCTTACTGGCCCACCAGGCTAGCCCAATCAGCTAGTGCCAGGCTTAGTGAAGGAGTCTGCCTTGAACATAAGGTGGAGAGCAACCGAGGAAGACACTCACTGTCCTCCTCTGGCCTCTCCTTACACTCACACATACACATTTACACACTCACAACCAGCTAAGGGATTTACTTTCAGGTGTGGGTGGAGAGACGATCTTGTTATTTAGACCAGGCTGTCCTTGATTTGTGGTCTTCCTGACTCTGCCTCTCAAGTGCTGAGACTACAGGGTTGTGCTGTGACACCTGGGTAAGGGGTATGTGTGTGTATGGTGTGTGCATGCGAGTGTGTGCATGTGCGCACGTGTGAAAGAGAGGGGGGGGAGGGAGGGAGAGGGTGCCCTCAGAGGCCAGAAGTGTTAGATCCCCTGGAGCTGGATTTAGTGACTCTGAGATGCCTTATATGGGCGCTGGGAACTGAACTTGGATCCTCTGAAAGAGCAGAGCAGTCCATGTTTTTAACTATTGAACCATTTCTCTAGCACCACGATTTTTTTAAAAAATGTGCTAAAAAGTAAAGTGTTTTGTTTTGTCTTTCACATTCTGTACAAGTTCCTTTCAGTAGGAGCAGTGCAGCCTCAGAGTCCATGATTCCAGGGGATGAAATGTTCAGTTAGAAAAACCACTGCCACGCTGGGAGGCAAAGGGAATTTGGGGAACTTTCAAGCTGAAAATCAAGTTGAGAGCTGTAGTAGATTGGAGACCTTTGTGACCATCAACCATTCACAGTTGAATCAGAAGTGGTCCATATGTACTCAACTGTAGCGTAAGACTGACAAGACCCCCAGGACAAACAGAATCCTTCCATCTTGGGGACCAATGGGAAGAGGGCTTGAGGCTAAGCCCTTGAAGGCTGGTGAGGGTTTTGGAAGGCATTGTGGGAGTTCTGGGGGAGTTCAAGCAAGAGCAGAGGCCCTTTGTTTCAGAGTAGTGAGCAGACGAGTTCCTCAGAACTGTGTGTGTGTTCTCAACTCCATGGGTGTGCTTTCTCTGTAAAAAGTGCTGAGAAGCCTGCAGCTTATGGATGGAAAGGTCAGTGTCCCAAATTCTATAATGTTCTATTTCAACTGTGCTATGGAGGGAGCCTTGCTGGATTTTGTATATTATCCAGTGACCTTCTAAACCCTAAAGTCATATAATATAGTCATAATTTCTCTTGGAGAGCATGTTGCAGCTTACAAATTACTTTTTTATACCCATTATTACATTTGCTCCATATGACAGACCTGTGCCATCCCAGACACATCCCCACGAGCTCTTCCCTTTGACAGCAACTGCTGGTTATAAATGTACCCACCAGAAAAAGCAGAACTTTCTGCAGCAGCTGGGTTGTACTAGAAGCACAAACCTGTTGAAGTCAACAATTCAGGAGAATGGAAGGAGAGGGACCCAATACAGACAGACATTGGGAGTCCCTGGAGGCTGAGATGGTAGCTTTGGGAAAGACAGATGCAGAAGGGGACAAATGCAGGCAGAAAGCAAATCTCGGTTGAGTGCAGGGTCATCGTAGGCACATACTGAGAGCTCTCCTCAGCTACCAGTAGGGCTTGAGCAGAGAGTGGGGAGGAAAAGAGGAAGAGAAGAAGAAGGAGGAAGAGGAGGAAGAAGAGGAGGAGGAGAGACAGAAACAGAGACAGAGAGATTGATTGGTTTAGTTTTGAGACAATGTCACATGTAGCCTGGTTGACTGTGAACTTGCTAGCATAGGCTGGCCTTGAACTCCTGATCCACCTTACCTGTACCTCCCAAGTGCTGAAATTACAGACGTGTACTGACACACTCAACTCTAAAACAGAACAACTTTTTAAAAAAATCATGTTAGGGGTCCAAGAAGTGGACCTCAGGACCTGCACAGAGAGGTGTGTTCATCTGTTTGATATATCTGCCTTCTGTTTCATTCCAGAACATTCCATCTATCATAAAAAGCCCATCCTAAAGTGGTGCACTTTGGCAACTGCTTTGTGGAAGGGAAAACAATCAGGGCACTGTTATAGTTGCAATTTAGCCAGGATAAATGTGATGGATGTTGGCAACATCAACATACCATTTAGTCTGCCGAAAATCAGTTTACTTTCCTACTTAGAGACACGATATGAAATGAGATTAATCCAGTTGCTGTAGAGTGATTTCAACAGCACAAATCCCTCTGCAGCTCATTTGCATCAAAACCCACAAGGCAGTAGAGTTCTGTCTCCAGTGCCTGAGCAAATGCATTGATCTTCGTTTTATTTACAGCGAAATTCACATCAGAGCCTTTGTCGATGACAGCGAACTATTCTGTCCTTAGAGGAGGGTCACAGGGAAAACAATCTGCAGTACAGTTGAGATGTTACAGTGAAACTTAGCCTAAGGATGATTGTACCGGCTAGACTATAAACTCGGCCAAGGTCCGCAACTCCCTGGAGGAAGACTACAGAACAAAAACCAGCAAAGCTGTGGATGTTCTTTTCCCTTCTCTCTTCACTTTCCACGGCCAAAGGGGCAGTCTGCACACAGGATACATTCAATACATACGTTCTAGTGCTAACACTCGCGGACAGGCAAAACTCTGAGGGGACCCAGGGGGTCCCAATGGGGTACAAAGGTTGGTGAGAGATGCTTGGGCGGCAAGCAAATGGAACTTCGATTCTGTAACCCTGTAGCCGGACAAAAGGGTAGGGGCTGCTGAGTGGGGGCGCAGTGGGGGTGGTGTTGGAAAAGATGAAAGAAAGCTGCTCTGGTGAGGGGAATGTGGGGGTCAGGAACGGGGGCACCGTGGTGACTTGGATGGATTCTAAGGAACCCACGGGTCCTTGAGAAATCTTTCTTTGCAAAGTTTAAAGCTGAAGGGCAGATAATCTTTCTGAAATGTCTTAGCTTCCCTGTTGGAGGGAAATGACCTGAGGGGACCTCTCCATTTCTCTCTGGTCTCTTAGCCCGTGGTGTTGCAGTAGCCAGGGCCAGGGCTCAGCTTCCTTCTTGGATGCCTTTCTCTATAGCTGGGAGCACTCGACCCCTTCTTGCAAGTCAACCATACTGCAAACTCAGCAGAAGCCTCTCCTTGATGGGGAGGGATTTAAGAAACTTACTGGAGCTGAACGCTCAGCTGGCCCTGCCACAGGTCACTCTCTGCTTCTGGTGTGGCTTTGATGTGGCCCAGTTTTAGCCAGTGGATTCTGCCTCCTCCCTAAGTGTCTTCTTAGTGGATTTACCTGAAATCCCTCCCTGCTAATGCTCAACACACTCTCTTGTTTTTCAGGCCTTACAAGATGTTGGGCTCATAAGAAAGTGTCCCCCTTCTCCATCTTTCCAGTCCACTCCATCCCCAGCCTTCTGTAGCAATCATCTGGCATCTACTCCCTGAATCCCAGTCCTGCTGCCTAAACTAATTGTGTACAGAACACTGGGTACAACCTGTCCTACATGTCTCTTACCTGGAGTAGGATTCTCCACTCTCTGGCCCCTCCCCAGGTGCCCAACATTACCCTGGCCACTGCCAGTTTGTTTTCCTTCGCTTGGTCATATGCATGGCTCTATTTTCCCATGGCATGCACCCATGAGTTGCCCCCAAACCACCCACCTCTACAGAAGGGTTTGTCAACCTTGTTGTTATTTATTGCCATCTAAGCCAGCAACTGTGGGGACCACTTTGTGCCGTGTGCAGCTTCACAGCATCTCCAGCTTCCACCCACCACTACCCCATGTCCAGATGATGACAACCAGAACTATCTCCTGGCATTGCCAAACATCCCTTCTAGGGATGGATTGTGGAGAACCAGTGACTTGCAAAGACCTAATAAGGCAAAGGTATTTTAAAGTCAGTAACACAAACCTTGAGAAAAGGTTGTGTATACTAGGAGCATTTCAATCTGGTAAAGTTGTAACTGATGACTTTCTATACTCTCAAAAGTGCCACAGGGGTGCTGGTAAGCTGTGTCAGGATACAGTGTAGGCAAACCTGTGTGAAATCTCTTCCCCCTACTTCAGGCATTCCCAGATGCTACTGTGCATAGGACACACCCAGAAAAGGTTTTTGAAATTTAAAGTCAGATTCAGGAGGTTTAGGAAAGAGACAAGAACTTTTCTTTCTTTTTTTATTCTTCTATTTATTTTCTGGTTCATTGGATGGAACAGACTTCAGATCTTTCCCCTTGGGTTGACAGGTTGCTAATGCTACTGCTCCTGGATCATGTTGCTGGATCAAGCACAGAGGCTCCAGGTTCCGATATTTCATAGAGCTAAGGTGAGAACATTGAGCTCCTCAGGATCACAAGAGTAAGGTTAAAATGTGTTTTAGGATGGCAGGCTAGAGAGGTGGGAATGTTCCCTGTACCTTTCTGCCACAAAGCCAGCTGTTCATGGGACATTTTGCAATGGACACTTGCATTAGCTTGAATTTATATATTGTATAAGTTACCCACGAGCTCTCTGTTTCACCCTTAAACGATAATCTTCAAATTCCTAGTTTGTTAATACTTTCAGAAGTTTCCAGGAGTCTGAAAGTCCCCAAAGCTCAAGGTGTTTGTCATTCATGTGTTGCTACTAACAGAAGATGGCAGGGTTTGGATGGGACAAGAGGGGAAGGAGTAAAGAGAGCTACTCAATTTGAAGTTTGTATTACTTAAGTCATTTTTCTGTAATGCAGTTTGGATGTCTTTTTCTTTTTCCACCTCAGTGCTGGGGATGGAAATCCTAGGGCCTACAGCATGCCAGGGAGGTGCTCTGCCACCGAATCACATCCTAACCCAAAGGAAGATTATATATACGTACATGGGTGTGTGCGTCCATATTTTATGTGTATGAGAGTTTTGTTTGCACGTGTGTCTGTGTATCATGTGTATGCCAAGTGCCTACAGAGGCCAGAAGAAGGCACTGGAGTTGCAGATGGCTGTGAGCTGCCATCTGGGTGCTGGGAATTGCACCTTGGTCCCCTGGCAGAGCAGCCTCTTGTCTACTGAGCCCTCCCTCTAGCTCAAGTTTGGATGTTTCATTGCGTAAAGTATCACAGTTCTAGGCTGGAACCAAGCCTGTGAAGCACTTGCTGCATAAGAATAAGGACCTGAGCTGGGTCTCTCAGAACCCATGTAAAAGTCTGGGCATGGTGGCCCGTGCCGGAAACCCCGGCACTAGGGAGGCAGAGACTAACGAACCCCAGAAGCTTGCTGGCCAGCCAGTCTAGCCAAATTGGTAAGCTCCAGATTCAGCAAGAAACTGGCTGAAAATTAAGGTGGAGAAAACAACTTAGGAAGACATCTGCCATCAACCTCTGGCCTCCACAAACACACGCACATCTGTATACACCTGTATACCCGTGCACACACGCACACAAAAGAGATTGCAGTTCTCTTACTTCTCACATCAATCCAACAACAACCCCATCTTTCTTTATTTTTTTAAAAATACAGGTGTTCAGCTGGAAATTCTGCCTGAAACTCCGCCTAGGCCCCACTCCTCAGAAAACCGCCAAAAGTCCAGGCTCCTCCCCCAAAGCTCAAGACCGCCATCTACACGGTATATAAGCCCCAGCTGTAGATCATCCATGTGATTTCTCTCCTGTTCCTTTTCCCAAGAGTCATCCGGGCTTGCTGCTTTGCTCAGATTAAACCTGGTCCTTTACTTTTTTTTTTTTTGGTTTTTCCAGACAGAGTTTCTCTGTATTGTTTTGGAGGCTGTCCTGGAACTCATTCCGTAGACCAGGCTGGCCTCGAACTCACAGAGATCCGCCTGCCTCTGCCTCCTTCAGTAAATCCTACCGGCGTGCACCAACACAACCAGCGTCTTTTACTTTTTAATTCAGCTCCATTTGGCTTACTGTGTCAGTGGAGAAACCTAACATCAGGGTGCAGAAAACCTATCATCTGGGTATCACTATGTAGCCGTGACCGACCTAGAATTTGCTATGTAGATCATGCATGCCTCTACCTTCCAACTGCTGGCCATTTATATGTACTATAATATATATATTTATATATACTATATATATATATAGTTCCTCAGTCATTTTGGAGAGTCTCCAGGAACATGACAAAGAAATTCATCATGGAAATTAAAGTATAGAGAGCTTGTGTTTTTGGCCCTGGGTACACAGATATCATTCCTGATTCACGTGCTCTCTATACTATTCAAGAGTCACCTTCAATCAGTCTTGTAAAGAAGAAAGGCCTTATGGCATTTAGTCAGGCAGCAAATAATTTTATTCAAAAATTATATTAATCTCACACAATGTTATTACAACACCAAATAAGATAACCAGTCAAATCTTTAAAATAGTTGCATAAATAAAATGCCCACTAGCTGTTAACATGCTGTAATAAGGGTAGACACATCTTCTGAAAGTTGCCCAGAGCCTGATACACCATTTTTCCTGATCTCATACCATACTGCCTGAGTTAACATTGACTTTGGGTTTTGTACACACCTAATACTTTGCGGAACCTCAGGAAGGAAATGGCTACTCACATTTGTTACTGTTTTACGTGAGGTCCCAGCAAGTCTAAAGACACAGATTTCTCCAGGGCTGCAGGTGAATCACAGATAAGAAAGAGAACACAGTTCTAATACCTTTGAGACCAGGGATCAGCATGGGCTTAGCTGTGCTACTACATGAGCTGGTGAGTACTCTCCTCCCTCGAGGGAGGGAGAGCTAATCTGCTCGTTCTGGAATATTCTGACAGGTTGCTATCACTATGATCAAATGTAATAAGGCTAAATGTCACTTGTAAACCTCTGTGCCTGATATCTCTCTCTCTCTCTCTCTCACACACACACACACACACACACACACACACACACACACACACACACACACACGGAGGTGGGGAACGGGGACAAGGAAGATCATAGTAGCAGCAGCACATGAGAACTCAAGAGTTCTAACTGACCACAGCTTCAGTATGAGTCAGCAGTGTGACATAACTGCCCCCGAGGCTAATGCAGTTGTAGGCCGTATTAATAGAAGTAGAGGGAGAAGGCTCAGGGAAGAATTACCCGGTGGTATTTGCCCTCTCAAAGCTCTGTTCCATTTTGGACAGCTTGGCTAAAGAAGGGTTCTAAAGTGGAATCCTTCTGGAGAGGGCTACTTCAAATGATGGCAGCATGCAAAGCTGCATCCCAGGAGTAAAAAGAACCACAGATATCTCTGTTTGAAGAAGACTCCCAGGAGGGCTGTGACAGCTTCTCTGGGAAAGAGCCCCAGGTTGTTTATAGGTGTGGAAACTTAATTTCTGGATCCCCAGTGCAAAATACCTCATGAAGGCCTTGTCATATTTTGCTTGCAAAAACAAACATTTTCAGCAAATTGCACCCCATTTTCCTCATGATTTCCTTGATGTATAAAAAGTTCTGGGTGGGGCCAGCAAAATGGCTCAGTCAGTAAAGTGCTTGTCTCTCAAGCATGATGATCTGAGTTCAGATCCTCACAAAAGCTACAGAGTCTGTAATCCCAGCATGAGGTGTGACGGAGACAGGTGGATCCTTGGAACTAGCTAGGCTAGTCAGTGAGCTCCAAGTTTGGTGAGGGATCTTATCTCCAAAAGTAAGGTAAAGCAGGCCACAGAGATGATATCTCAGTGCCTTAGCCACTGTGCTTGCAGAGGACTGGGGCTCTGTTCCCAGCACTCATGTTGGGTGGCTCACAAGTGCTTATAACTCCAACTCCAGGGCTCCTCTTCTGGTTTCTGTGGGCACTGAATACATGTGTGCACAGCCAGAGAGATATACACCCATATAAATAATTAATAAAATTTTAAAAATGTAAAGAGCAACAGAGGAAGACATCTAATGTCAACCTCTGACCTACATGTTCACACCCCCCCCACACACACTTCTAGATACATCTGTGCCTCCTTTTGCCCTCAGGTGTGCCTCCGCCAAGAAGCCTTCTCTAAAAATCCCCACCTCCAGCCATTTTCTCTGTGGTCTCCTTGTCATGGACTTCGCTCTACGGTAGCAGTTTCTTCCACTTCTCCTACTTTCCTGGGGATTATTCGTTCTCCAGTGAGGAGAACTCTTTAATGGCTTTGATGTTTATCCTTCTAAATGTTCTCAGTTCATCCGGGTCCCGATCAACAAGAGACCGAGGGAATTTCTGCAGACAGCGGCCAAAAGATGAATTGAAGTACCTGGACAGGTAATCTTTTACAACATCTACATGACAAAGCTCTGCAGCTGCTCTCTTGATGCTAACTGTGGAATCAGCCCTTCCGTTTATGATATAATGTGAGCTGACATAGCTGGCTGTGGCTTGCATCCTGCTCCCTTACGTCTTCATTTTTACATGCAAGCTGCTCTCATCCAGGCTGCGGAAAACTAGTCTGTCTAAAAGCTGCCTCTCTTTCCTTGCAGGCACCAGGGACACACCTCTAGCTAGGGGTGCCCTTCACTTCACGGTTGGCCTTTATTTATTTGGGTATTTGTGGGGTACTCAGTGCTAACGATTGCTGTGTGGATCCTTGGTTTATAAAATGTATTGTGGCCACTTTATAAATATTGATGTAAGAAATCAAAATGCCACACAATGCGTTTGTTTAAATAAGAAAGTGACATATAAGGCATTTTCCCAATGAGATGCTGCATGCTTTGCAGCCCAGAGAAGATACATATGAGCTTTTGGGGTGGTCATGCATGAATCTCCCAGAATCTCCTGTGTTAAAGAACAGTGTCGATTTGCTCAAGGACGGGGGGGGGGGGGGTGAGGCACCCTGAGCCCTCTGAGAGGTTGAGAACAGGGCACAGCAGGGCGCTACTTTCCTGTTCCATCACTCTCATAGTAGGGTGCAGGGTTATCTCCAGAAGCCCAAGGACCTGCAGGGTACACACTCCACACCTGTTTATTTGGAAGGTGTGGATGTGACCTCAAGGCCTAAAGTCAAGTTGCAAACTTAAAAAAGCAGGGCAACTGAGAAACACAACCTCAGCTTCCCACCATCAATGGCAAATCACAAATACAGGCAGTCACTTCTGTGGCTAGCCAGCCAGTCTGTGCCACAGGCCCTTGGGGAAGGGATCTCTGTGTCCTTCCTTGGTCTCAGGGCTTTTGAGATGAGAGCTTATGATTCTCCAACTGCTGAGTCCATTTCAGAGATAGTAAAGGATGTGAGTGTGTGTGTGGCATGAGCATGTCCAGGTTTGAGCGTGTGTGTGTGTGTGTGTGTGTGTGTGTGTGTGTGTGTGTGTGTGTAGGTCAGAGGTCAATGTCAATGTCTTCCTCAGTTGCTCTTCACCTTATTTTTTGAGGCAGGATCTTTCAATGAGCCTATAGAGCCTTAATTCAGCAAAACCAGTGAACCAGTGAGCTCCATGAATTCTTTTTCTCTCTTTTCCCAGAACCAGGATTATAGGCACACACATCTACACTTAACCTTTTTTCTGTGGGTCCTAGGGATCCAAGCTCAGGTCCTTAGGCTTGTATAGTGAGCACTTTCCGAACCTGAGCCATCGTCTCAGCCCCAAGGATATAATTCTTAATGAAAAATCATGTGGAAGGCATTGTGTCCTTCCAAAGGAACAACCTCTTTAGGAGGACAGGGTCTATCAGCTCTAAACAAGTCCATCAACATTACTTATGTTCACGATGCACTCTGAACTGCCCATGAGGGATAATGAAATAGTGTGCTACAGAGCACGGGGTCAGAAGATAATTGCTGGAAAACAGCCCTGCAGCAAATGAGGTACCCGACAGAATGACACGCAGTGGCCTGCAAAGGCACTACTGATATTTATTGTTCCTAATAAGATTTGGATCTTGCAAAGGAATCCAGTAAGATAGAAACAGATGACAGCTCTCATGACTTACAGGGAGGGGTTGAGGGGTCTTGTCTCACAGAACAAAAAGAATCGTCTACTATCTGTTCTCAGTGGGATACCCCTCTCCTTTGTGTTCTCCCCCAATAATGTCTTATTTATTTAGGTTCTTCTTGATATTCATATTTAACAAAAGCTCTACCTACTCATTATTGACCAAGTTCCCATAGAGTTCTCAGCAGTTCGTGCCTACATTTTTCCCATCCAGCACTAGACAAAAGACTCAAATCATAAACCATTTGTAGGCTGACACATTAAACCCGTGGTTCTGGGAGGCTGGGGGGGAAGTCTCAAAAAAAATGAAAAAAGTATTCTTCGTGACCAATTGATCAATTAGGCTGCTTTCATTAAAAACCATGAAAACGCAGAAGCAGCTTAGCAATGATGGTCCTAGAACTGCATAAAAGCATTAATAATGCTGGATTCCTTTTACTCACTTATTTTTAGTTCTCTTTAGAAAATTACACTTGAGAGCCTTCTGTAATGGCAATTAAGGGGCAGATAAGACTGACACAGTCCTGGAACCGCTTGTAATGCTAATGAAGGGCTGGGACCAATCCCTAGCTGGGGAAGCTTTTGCTGGGTAAAACTGTTTCTGAAGTCACAGACTGACTTAGGTAAAGTCTGAGTGCCTGAGATAACCAGCCACCGGCATTACTACCACCAGCAGACATCTGTCTTCCTACAAGGAAACCCAGCGTGGCCTTTATGAATTGGACAAGTCTTCTACACCAGTGTTTTAGTGGCAAAATCTTTTACAGTACAGCAATGTGAAAAATGAGAAGGACTCCCTCCTCCCGACTCTATCAAAATATCATGTTCTGCCCTGAGGCTCTGAGGTCTCATAACTCTGCTGCAAGTGACCTTGTATGGCGTACTTTGACCTCTTTGCACCTTAATTTTCTTATATGTGAAGATACGATATCGCTAGTGCTTTCTTGGCTACTCCAGAGAAGTGAACAATTTAATGCCTTCGAAGGTTTAGATTGGCACACGAGGCCCGAGGTGGAGTTTACAAGCACTGTGAGAGGTAGAGTAACAGATTAGTCACAAGGCAGCACCAGCACCAGCACCCCAATGCACTGTTTTGGAAACGTGTATAAATTATTCAACCCTCAGACAACCCCACTAGCACTCTCATTACCCTCCCTTTACAGCTCAAGAAACAAGAACGGAGGGACTGAATTTTGTTCAGTTCACCTAGCAAATGGTGGGCTGGGCTCATATTTAGGCTGTCTGGCTCCACTGCAAGTACTCAGTCAGTGTGACCTATTGTTACTGCTATGTGAATTTATGCCCTCAGATACCTACAGCCTCTGTCACTAGTGGTGACGGTGAGCGTCTTATGCATCTTCAAAGTATATTAAAAATAGATATGAGCACCCATAGAATACTGATTTAGGCAAAGACTAGGACCTAAAATAATCAGATGGAAGCAGTTGGGAACAGGGTGTTAGCATAGTGCCAAAGTGTCACCCTCTCTGATTCCTTGTTGATTGTAAGAGGGAACAAGTACTTTGAGATAGAGAGAGAGAGAGAGAGAGAGAGAGAGAGAGAGAGAGAGAGAGAGAGAGAGAGAGAGAGAGAGAGAAATCCCCAGAGCAAAACCAATGCCTAGAGCCGGATCAAGCTTGGCATTGTGAGTGGTGGAACAATCCAGAATGATGTGCCTCCTGATAAAACGCAATACAGAGCACCCCATGCCACCTCATGAAAAAAATCAGAGAATCTCAACATTCGCCGTCGAGAGTGGGTAAAGTTGCTTGTTTGCAACCTGAGTTTGATCCCCGAATCCCACATGGTAGAAGAGATCTGACTCCTGCAAATCAATACCCTCTGACTTTCATGCATGTGTTGTTACATTCATATCCACACACATACACACAAAGTAAATAAGTAAATGTAAGCAAGAGGCATGGTGACAGGAGGCACAAGGCAGCAGCCAATTCACAATGTGGGGCATTTCTACAAGGTCACTGACCTACCTTGGAAAAAAAATCCAGTGTTGAGTGGAGAGATATAAAGGTTGGATTCTGGATTCTTATTTTTTTTAAATAATAGTATAGGTGACAGCTGGGGGCAAATTGGGGAAGGTTAATAGTGTTTAGGTGTTACATATTAAGGACTTCTACTTTTGTAGTGAGGCATTTGTGGTTACATAAGATAATGTTCTTGCTTTTGGGTGTGAACTGAATTATTCAGGAGTGAACTGTCATTCATCTGCAACTTACAAGAAATTCAGAGAGAAACACGGCAGATAGAGCAGGTGTGGAAAAGGTTATGTTAGTAAACCTAAGTGGGGCATGGTTAGCATTTCAACTTTTCATTAAATTTTTCTTTTTGATAGGGTCTTGCTGTGTAACTCTAGCTGGCTTGGTGGCCTTGAACTTGCACCAATCCTCCTGCCTCTGCTTCCCAAGTGCTGGGATTGTAGGCACTTGACTCCATGCCTTGCTTAAATCTGTTTGGAAATTCACTTTTCTCATGAGTCGTGTGTCTAACATCTTTGGAGAGCAAAGGAGGTCCCTATTGTTGTGTATGCTGTTGTGATTTCATTTAATTCTCTAAAATTTTGGACTATGCTTATATACTAAAAAAGAAGACTTCAGTAAATAAACATTATTTACTGAAGCCTTATTGGCTCAAGTCTATTGAAAACCAATGTGAACTTTGTCAGAGACCTTGGCCCCATAATGCAGGGTGTGGTGCTGTTACTGACACAAAGCAATTGCTCAATAAATGTTAGTGAAATGTTTGTTGAATGAAGCTATGATTTCCTAAAAATTCTTAAACAGTATAAAAATATAATAATGAAGAAAAAAGTAGAGACAAAAGAGATTGAGATGCCATTTATATAAGGAGATATGAGGCACAAAGACTTTAAACAAAATGGGGATAAACTATTTTACCTTTTGATTCAAACAACTATGCTAAATGACTAGTCTTGAAATTTTAAAAAATATTTGTTTATTATTACTTACACATTCACCACATGCTGCGGCACGAATATAGAGTTGGAGGTCAACTTGTAGGAATGGGCTCTCTTCTTTTACCATGTGAGTTCCAGGGCTGAATCAGGGTGTTAGATTTGGTGGCAAGCATCTTTGCTTGCTGAGCCTCTTTGCTGACCCCCTTTGACAAATTTTAAGCTTGCTTAATGGGAGTTTGAAGATTCTGTCCCTCAACTCAACCCAGCAGCAACTGTGACTTATTTAAGAAAGCCTAAAGGACTCACACTTAATGACATATCTGTGAACAATTACAGACTTTTCTATCTCCAGGAAAAGGGGCAAGTTTTGCTCAAGTTCAGGCATGAGCTCTTTAGCTGCCAACATCAGCAGGTGTTACTCTCTGGGAATCAATAAATACATGGAAATCAGGATCACTAGCAGCTCTTCTATAAGGCAATGGTTCCAAAAGAGATGGCTCTGGGCAGCAAGAGAGATGTTTTGTACAAGGGATAGGAAGGGAGTATTAAGATTTAGAGAAATAATAATGTTCCCATCATGCATTTTCGTAGCGCCTTTCCCTGAGGTACATAGTATTTACGTTAACTTTTATTTTTATGGTGTCCTTATCAGGCAGTTATAAAACAACTGAAGGTCTAAGACATGGAAGCTATTGTTAGCAACAAAGGACATTTCTTCATATTGAATAGATCAATCACCTCCTTCCCCTCTGCTTCAGTAAAGCCATTTATAAAGATAAAAGCAATTGCAATTTAGGGAGAACATGATTACAATTTACTATGTGGGAGACTCTCCGAGTTGAGTCTCATAGGGTGGTTTGCTTCAGTGATGTGGGGCTGTCTCTTTTTTACAAAAACTAAATCACAACACACACAAAAGTTCTTAAAAATGTCACAGGTCAGAAGGTTTTAAAATTTGGAGTGGAAAGACACTACTAAATAGTGGCTATTCTTTGAAGAGAGCCTCTCTAAAATTATCCTGTGGACATCAAACCTTGTAGGCCATGCCGAGTCACTAACGGAGACCACATTAAACTAAATGCTCTTTCTGAAATTAAAAATGAAGAAAAAAAATAAAGAAAAGGGACTTACTAAAGAACCAACAGTTTGTGGTAAATGTACCCACATGCAAGCCTCTTCCATTGAAGTTTCCTAGCCTCTGACACTGTGGATATTGTTTTATCCTATGTCGTTTTAGATCCTCAGCAGCCCCCTTAATTTGACTATGGACATGTACTTTAATAATATGGAGATAGTTGCATATGCCGCATTAACGAGGCTGCGTGTGAGTGAGTAGATACAGTCATTTTTAGGTTAGTGAAAACCTGGCCTTTGCATCCCTTCTTCATGTTCTGTAACAGGTGGGGACAGGAGCAGAGACTAGAGATGATCTTAAGGATGCCACAAAACTATTAATAAAGAGACAAAGACAGACAACACCCTCTCCTCCCATCTTCCCACATGAAGTTTTCTTTTATTAACGGAACCCAAACCAGTGTTATTTATAATGAGAGCAAATGCCACCAGCACTAGCAGTTGTAACTGGTGGAGGCATTGAGCAAGAGGTGGTTCCTGACCTCAGACTCCGGGCTCCAGCCGCTGATGCTCAGCCCTCTGCCACCTCCCACTCCTCAATTTGAACTAAATGCTGGCCCTTCACCATTGGAGGGAGATTTGACTTCTGTGACTCCAACATCCAGAGTCTTTTCCAGACTTGTTTTTATTTGCTACAAGCCAAGTAAAGATCACGTTTTCTCTAGTTCATTTGACAGAAGTTGAATCCTATTGTTACCAACATAGTCACCTAGATGAGACATGGGCTGATAGCATGAAGCATTAACAGCAAAGTTTAGAAAACCAGTAGGACCAGCTCTTATTTGATTCATTTGGTTCGTAGAGAACAGACCCTTAAAAGCACTCACGATTTTTAAACAGTCTGCACCCATGCACCATGACATACCTTTTGGAAGTGAAGAGGTTGAGTGTGTATCTCGGCTGTGACGACGAGTTATTAGAATCGCCTTTTGCCAGTGGGAAGATGCATTCAGATGTCAAGATGACTGCGCTTCAGTGTATAGGTCTGCCTTGGGATGGCTTCTGAGCACCACACTGAAGCAGGGTGCAAGCCCCAGATCCATCAATACAGCTTCCTCCTCCCTGCCTGTTGCTCTCCCCGCAAGCTACCCCCAGTCAGTCTGTAGGCAAACCACACAGGAACTAGCAGACACCCAGCTGCACAGAGTTGGGCGTGAGCCTTAGATTATGTGGTTTTGTTTTCTTGCTGCTAGAGTCTCACCAGGTTCACTGAAACATGCCTGCCCCTTTATGTTTCAGTTTTAACAATACACACCTGCCCCCAACTCCCATATTCACATTAGAAACATAACCTGAATTATGGTCCATTAGCAAGCGGCTGCTGGCTTCAAGGAAGTCCTAGCTTCACATGCCTCCATCTAGAGAAACACAAAGGCCACTGGGAAAAAGTTAAAGTTACCCTGGTCAATCGCAATGTTAAAACCTCAGAGAAACCGATTGCTAAGTGTATCCAGCCTGACACATAACTCTTAGCTTGTGATAAAAATCTTGACCCAAGAAAGAAAGGGGGAGGGAGGTTCTCAGAGCTGGGAGTTCTGTTAACGGCACCCACTAACCAACCGAGTTAGCCAGCCAGTGAGTTAAGAGTTCTAAGCCTAGGTTTGCCATTTTCATGAGCAAGGATCTTTCCTTAGACCCATGGGATTTGGCATTCTTTTAAACAAGCTGGACCCAAGGCTTCTGACCATGTCCCTCAGTTTCCCTGGTCTTTATCTTCACAATTCTAGGCTGCCCTGTGCCCCCAACCCCAAGCCACCTGCAGGCTATGCCAGCGTCTTCCTTTCTTTGTTCTTGTAACATCTGCATAAAAATAAGACATATTTCAACCAGCTTAGCAACACCTTTAGAGTCTGGAGGTTGGACCCAAGGTGAGGAGGGAAATATTTCGGATTTCTCTGGCATTAATCCTTGGAAAGTTTTTTTTCTCTATTTGTCTCAATTTAAAGTTCTAAGATTTTAACTTATCCTTCATTCCTGCCTTTTGAGGTGGTATCTCATTGCTTCTTTAAACTTTGCTGGTTTTACTTTTAAAAACCTTTTCTTTTCATTATAATTGCTCACTTTTTTGTGTGTGTGATATAGCCCATGCTATATCTGGAACTCTCCAACTTCTTGTCACAGCCTAAAGACCTGGGTCCAGCCTGCTCAGGTGCTGGCATTATAGATGTGTGCTACCATAGGTGCTCACTTACACATTTTAATTGAAAAGGAAAGAAGTCTGGTATTGAGTTGGCAAGCTACCTTGGTCATAGTAGGTGCCCAATAAAACATCAAATGGTCTAGAAATACTTCCCCCAACTCTCTAGTAATGGGATTTTTAAAAGATTGAATTTTAATTATGCGCATGTGTGTGTAGACATGTGTATGTGGACATAGTGTCCATGGAGATCAGAAGAGTGCTGGGTCTGCCAAGCCGGGATAACAAGGCCACAGTAAGCTGTCAGGCGTGGTCTTCTCGGCCGGGTCATGTCTCCAGCCCCTTCCCTTATTAATGAAAGTCTGTACAATTTTCTTAAAACTAAGCTGATTGTGAACACGCCACTCACTATTTCCACATGGCCAAGGTTTTAAAGGTAACTCGCCTCTGATTTCACAACAGCAACACTGACTTCAGAGTCCCACCTTTGTGATCTAAGGACCTTCTTGGGTCTCATCATTACATTAAACAGCTCCACTGCCAAGTTTCTGAGCCTCTGGCCAGCACCTTCCTCAGCAGTAGTTCCCAAGCCAAAGGCACGTTGTGGTTAACTGCGCTTGTGTGGCTAGGGAAAATGGCGAATGGTTCAATCCAGAATCTCCTAGGGGTCTATCCAGAATCTCCCAGGGGTCTAACGTGGAAGCTACTTTCCCACAGGGCACTACTGTTCCCTAGGGAACACAATCTCTTACTTTCCAAGTAAAGGGCAGAGTGCAGACCTGAAGAATCTCAAAGAGAATTAATCTTGCTAGCAAGTACTGGCTGACTGGCAGACATGATAGTCAGCACATAGGCAGGGGATGAAGTCACTTCGGTGGTTTACTTCACAGCTCTGTGACTAAAGGAGGACAAAGTCACAGTTTAGGAATAAAGACCCCCATGAGAGGATGTCTGCATTTCAGCCTTTGCCCAAGTTATTAGGAGGATTCAGGAATGTGTAAAATTCCACTTAGCCTCAATGGAGAAAATTTCCTTAGAAACTACACTTGCTTAAAAAAGAAATCCAGCAACAACTTTTGAAGGGTCATCTTTTGTAACAGAGCTTATGTGCAATTGTGCTCCATCTCATTTTTGAGTAAAATATATACTTCTGATTCAATAGAGTGCATTCAGATGTTCAGTCACTCAACAGAGTTTGGACATCATCTGTATGCATGGCTCTAGGGGCAGGCTAGGAATTTACAGGTGAATATATTGTAGCCTCTACTTTGTTGGACATTATGTTCTGGTAAAGGGAGAAACAAGGCCACAACACTGTGAAGGAAGTCAACCTGGTGGAGGTCTGGGGTAATAAGGACTCACGGGTACAAAGCCTTAGGATGAGAATGAACTTGCCACAGTGAGTGAGGCAGAGAAGTGGGTTCAGAGGTCAAAGAGAGCAGGACACCAGGCAGAGCCCTGCTGGCTGTGGCAAAGCCTTGAGACTTTATTCTGAGTGCGATGGGAGCCAATGAGAGAGTCTGAAGTGAGAGTGATGTGAGCTGACTTGAGTTTGAGATTCCTCAAGGATTCCTCCTGACTGCCCTGTGGACACTGTCCACTGAGCTTCACATCCATTACCATCTTAAACAGAGCAGCTGCCATCACACGAAAGCAGGCTTCAAAAGTCTTCAAAATCTGGATTACTGGGCTTTCTCCATAGCCTTAATGAGGGGCAGGGGATGGCCCTTAGACTGGGATTCCAGCCATTTTTTTCCTGCACCCTTCCTTTTAGGGGTATGTAACTGCCCCGGCTGCATGTGGTCTCAGAAGATGAGAGGTTAATCAAAGGGGGAACTCCATCTAAGCTGCTATGGGGAAGTCATGGTGATGTGGCTGTTGCGGGGGAGGGTGGGGCGGATGATCTTGTTCCTGCCAGTAACCCCTCACTCATAAGCCAGCGGTTCTCAACCTGTGGATTGAGACCCCTTGGGGGACAGTCAAACAACCCTTTCACAGGGGTCACCTAGGACCATCAAAAAGCACAGATATTTACATTATGATTCATAACAATAGCAAAATTACAGTTATGAAGTAGCAACGAAAATAGCTTCATGATTGGGGGTCACCACAATATGAGGAACTGTATTAAAGGGTCACAGTGTTAGGAAGGTTGAGAACCACTGCTATAAATAAAACTAATTGGTTCACTAAGCTCAACTTGGACAGAACATTTACTTTTGTCTGTTGTTGGTCCCTGTATGGGGAAGAAGATATTTGTTTATCTTTTTCCAGGAAAGGTTCATACAATAAACTCTACGCTGTAAGACAGTGGTCCTCAACCTTCCTAATGCTGCAACCCTTTAATACAGTTCCCATGCTTTTATGGGCCCCAACCATAAAATTATTTTAATTGCTATTTTATAACTGCGATTTTGCTACTGTTATGAATTTTAATGTAAATACTTTTGGAGCTAGAGGTTTGCTAATGGGGTCATGGCCCACAGGTTGAGAACCACTGCTGTAAGGGACCAAGAAGAGAAGCTGGGCATTCCCAGGATGTTACTGTGGGAGTGATGGTGGCTTAGTGAAGTAGAGGTGTCAGGGAACGGCTGGACTCTGCATACAGAGATTATCAAGTTTAACAACAGACATGTATGGCCAAAACCCCAATACTCAGAAGCCCAAGGCAGAAGGACTGACACGAGTTTAAGGTACATTGTAAGTTCTAGGCCAGGCTGGGTCACAATGGGAGACACCATCCCTTCATCGCCCCTAAAAACAAACAAACAAACAAGAAGCGGCCAGGTGTGGTAACCTTTAATCCTAGCACTCTAGAGGTAGAGGCAGGTAGATTGCTGTCTCAATTCAGGGCCAACCTATTAATATTACTGTATTATCTACTGGGATATAGCATCGATAACCCATTTATTCAGTAGCCATCTTGTATTTCAAAAGGAATCTGATAATTATGACATAAAGTGAAACACAAGTTTCCAAATGGACCCCAAGGCTCCCAGCCTGAGAAACGAGAACAAGGCGGTGTCACTGAGACAGGAGGCACGGTGAGGGAGCCTGTGTGGAGGAAAGGGTCAGGGTTTGGACATGCTTATTTTGAAATGTTAGTGAGACATCTTAACAGGGAGGCCAGAGCCCTTAATAGAGAATCTTGAAGGTCACGAGAGATCAGGGCTGCCAGTGCAACTTGGAAAGTTATGGGTGCAGAAGGGGTTTAAAGCTGTGAGACTGAACACTTACCTCCTGGGGCATGGGTCTAGCCAGAGAAGACAACCACTTGGAGAAAGGATGCCTCCAGAGTTGAGACTGGAGAGCTAGTGGCAATGGGCTGAGGTCAGAATCCTGGATGCCAAGCAGAGAAAAGGTTGTTGATTTCTTTGTAAAACTTCCAGTTCAGGAAATTAAAAACAACAACAAAACACCCCATCAATCAACTCATTATCAAAGAACGACATTTGTACTGGGGGACAGGGAATAGCACAGTAATCAATTACATTGTGACTCCAAATGGATGGAAACAGATACAGAGGATCCCTTTACCTAATATTACATCTGTAGCACTAATTCCACCAGCGTGGGCCCACTCCACACTTCTGCTGAGACTAGACAACCCCTCTGCAGCTTACGGGGCTGCAATCTTCCAGCATGCCTTATCTATTTCCATCTGCCTCACCAACCACTCTCTGTGTGTTTTCTACCCTAAGGCTTCACAGCTGGCTACAAACCTTCTCCTTGTTCCATTTCTCTCCATTAGCCTGTCTCCCAGTGGACTTCCACTCACAGGACCCTCATATTAAAAATGTACAGGCCAGAATGTATCATTTCTTCCTGTTAGACCATCTCAGATCATCTTCCTAATCTTGAGCAACTGACATTTATAGTCACCCCCAAAAGAAATTTGAGAATCACCATAGACTCCATACCCCTTTCTCTCGTGCCTACATGGTTTGGAGTCAAGCCCAGGAGCTCGTTGCTTTGGCACAATCCGGACAGGATGCACACCACACCCATTGCAGTTGTTCTCTACCGGGAGAAAACACTCAGACTTCAGGGGATGCTTCACACTGTGTGTGCACCAAACCCTTTATGGACTATGGCTTTTTCCTGGACATACTTATTTATGACGTTGTTTAACTTACATATTAGATATGGTAAGAGATGAATAATGAAGAACATTGGTCATAAGTTACAATCAGTGTTATATGGATTAAACAGGCAAACCCTGTTTAATGCCAGCACTCAGGAGACAGGCAGGAGGATCTCCATGAGTTTCGAGGCCAGTCTAGTGTACATAGTAAGTTCCAGGTCAGGCTGAGCTACATGGTGAGGCTGTCTCAGAAAGCAAAACCAAACAAGGGGCTGGAGAGATGGCTTGGCAGTTAAGAGCATTTGCAGAGGACCCAGGCTTGGTTCCTAGCACCCACATGGCAGCTCACAACTGGTTGGAACTCCAGTTATGAGGGATTCAATCCCTGCTTCTGACCTCCTTGGGCACCAGGCACACTTTGGTGCATAGACGCACATGCAGGTGAAACACTAAGTGAGGTGACCTCTCAAGAGTATCTTACTGCACTGGGTTCAATTAAAAAAAAATACTTGATGGCAGGAAGTGAGAGGAGCAGGCGTTGTGCAGTAGCCTTAGGGGAGTAGACACTGTAAAGTAGGTTTAGGCTACCTTAGTGGGTTACTTGAACAACGCATATCCATGATGCGACAATCCATCTGGTAGCCATTATACGACTAACGGAGAGGTAGTGCATAAAACAGACATACATTTCAGGTCCCAGGTGGGATTGTGCTATGGAAATGGCATGGAATGTAAACTTTGATTTTTTTTTCAGGAATTATCCACTTACTAACTCTAGGCTATAGTTATTGTGGGTAACTGAACCTGGATTTGGAGTTGTGGTGAAGGAGGTCTTAGATTTCTGTCTCAGGGCCTTCTTCACTTACTCCCAGACTTGCTACAGCATTTTGTCCTTCCAGGTCTTCTGAACACACGCAGAAAAAAATACACACTCTAGAAAGAAAATTGAATAGTTTTTAGAAATCGAAATCTCAGCTGGGAAGTGGTGTCACATGATTTTAATCTCAGGACTTGGGAGGAAGACGAAGGAGGATCTCTGAGTTTGAGGCCAGCCTGGTCTACAGAGCGAGTTCCAGGACAGCCTCCAAAACAATGCAGAGAAACCCTGTCTTGGAAACACCCCCCCCACCTCCCCACCAGCAAATTGCAATCTCTGACTTCACAGTACAGCATGTAGAATGGTGAGTGAAAATATCAGTGGAGCTCACAATCAAGGATGGAAGATTGTCTTTAGATTGGGGGCGTGAAGACAGAGCTGGACATCAGTGATTAGGGCCAGGGGTCCAGTTAAAGCATTTGCTAACTGGGTATCCTAAACAAGTCTTACCACCCATGCATTCCTACAAGCTCACTTCCTCCTGGAAGTCTTTTCTTGCTCCTATTGCACTCTATGGCTGCCCTTGTCATGGCAACCTTTTATGTGGGTGACTATTCAGACTACAATTTTCATGGTGTAACATAGTGTCTAGCACACAGCAGATTCTTAATGATGTACAGTGAATGCAGTTCCTCATATGTAAAGCAGGATGATAATGACCAATTTTAGCGGATCTTTGAAATGTACATAAGATGTATGTAGATTATAACGCAATGTATAAAATACTCATTTGTTCCCTCACCACTTCACTGAATGAAAATCTAAATATCTTCGAATGACATTCAAGGCCCCAGACAATCTGTTTTCCAGGCTGCCTTTTCAGGCTGTTTTGCCAGGCTGCTTCTGGCTATGTCTTAATTATATTATTTCCAGTTAAATAATATTTCAAGCACACCAACTTCCTTCATACCTTTCATGATTTTATATTTACTTCCCTATCAGCATGTCAGTATCAATAATGTTGGCTGTTACAATAACTGAAGCTGCGGAGGGTAAAAAACAATCAGACCTTACTTTGTACTATGAAATATCTCCCTGCCTTCTAAGCGTTTCCATCCTCGTCAAATCTCCATTCATTCACCAACGTGTGTTAAAACATGAACTCAATTATACCGTCCGTGTCCACAGGGACAGGCCTCTCTGGGGCTTGCCTGTTGCTTATCTTCTACTGTTGCTCCGCTAATAATTTTTCTACAGTCAATGGTGACTAGAGGGCGTGTAGTTTTACTGAGATAATAGGTGCTCTCTGCCTTTGTGTCTCTCTACTCGTGATACCTCCTTTGTCTCTGATGTCCTCCTCTTCTTTGTCTGCCCTGTGAACTTCCTGTCACCCTCCAAGATTTAATTCGGATGTAAAGTGTTCCGTGAAAGCTGCCCTTAAATACTCCTTGGCAGAATTAGACACTGTCTCCTCTCTCATTATGCGATACATATCTTGCCACAGTCTTCGATGACTGCACCTGTCACCTCCACTGATCTGTAAACGCACGCAGCATAGGGCTGTGCTTTATCTCGGGGTCCTTCCCGCCTGGTACAAACTGCGTGCTCACCGCCGATGGGTTAACTCTATCAAAGATTAGCCCTCGTTGAGACCTGAAGCTCTCCTTGAGTCACTTCACCGGGGACCATTACATACACTGCTTTACATACGCTAGGCTATCAGCCGCTTTAACCTCTGAGGTGGCAGGCAGTGCTCGTAGGGCGGCATTTAAATCTGCGCCATTCATAACAGTAACACAAATCGTAAAAATCTAGACAGCGAAACTATAGCAGTGCCACTGACTGAGACTGCATAACAAGGACGTTTGCCTTCGATCGGCTTGATCCTCTCCGGCCTGGAGAAACGAACCGGCTGCAGACACCTGGCTAGAGGGTCTGCAGAGGGCAGACGCTCAGGGGCCGGAAGTGAGGAAGCGGAAGTGGGCAACGGTGTGGGCGCTTGGGTCTCTTGAGGCAGCAGAAGAGCCTGGGGTATTGATTTTGATGGGGAAAGAGAGCCCCAGGTAGGTGACTGGAAGGGCTCGCTGGGTAGTAACCGCCAGTGTGGAGCAGAGCGGAGGGTGGGAAGCCAGCGGCCTTCCCGCCTAACTTCCTAACTTTCCTGTTGCCTCCAATCAGCCTAGGCACCGGCAGGCCCAAGGGCCCTGAGGCTGCCCCTCCCACCTTCCAGAAATTTCCTCAGTGAAGTTGCCCATCTGAGGAATCTGCCCATTTTTGCGCAGTCGTCAGACTGGGTCTCTTGTGTGACCCAGTGACCTGGCTCTGAACCCCCTGTTGAAAAATCAAAAGAGGGGTGCCAGGAGAGACCTGTCTAGTGGAAGCCGATCCAGTCTCTACCCTCCATTTTTTCAGAATTGTCCCCAAGTCCCTGCCTTTCTTCCTCTCCACAGCCCCAGGCAGTGTTGTTCTTTATGTTGTTACCGAGGAAACCATGGCCCAGGGATGTCATTGATTAGGGAACGGACCTCAAATCCTGGACGTTGGATCTTGAATACATTGAGGCGACACCAGTCAAAGCTGCGGTGTAGCCGTTTTTGGGGGGGGGGTAGGGTGGGACCTTCTGCATCTGTTTCCCTTACCCTCTCCTTGCCTAGGATGGAGGTTGCCATGTAATAAGCTTTGGGAAAATCACTGAAGACAGAAGATGACCGTAGGGAACATGATTTACGTTTCTTCACAACACTGTATAAATGGTTCTCAAGAGATATTTGCTGATTGCTTCGACAATATTTGCTCAAATTCCAGGCTTTACATACGTGACATTACAGGAGCTAGATTTTTTTTTTAAATGTCATGCTTGAAATTGAAAGTTATAGAATTATTTCCAGGTTATCCCAAAACGGGATCATTTAGTCTTTCACTCCTCACACGTGTCCTGGGCTCCCACCATGGCTAGGTAGTCCTTAGGTATAGATTTACAGTGGTAAGATAGTCAGGCCAAGGTCTCTGCCCTTCAGGAACATCTAGTCTGGTGTTATTTGCCACAGTCAAACAGCAAGCAGTTAAGTACATATTATTTTAAATGTCATGAAAGAAATCTCAGTGCCAAGGAAGAAATCAGTTGGGTGTTGGAAAGAGGCTGACCTTCATAGTGAGATAGACGTCAGAGGGATGATGAATCTGGGGCATGAATTGCCTTCTTCCCTCTTATTTCTCAATGTGATGGTGGTGTGGGTAGCCAGGCAACTCAGAGTCAAGAGTGGAGACTTGCCTCCTTACCACTGATTTTGTCTCAGATGCCATAGAGTCACATGGTGCTTAATGACAGTCCCATTCTGAGATACGCTCTAATAGGTCTACAGAAACATAGGATGTTCTTACCCAGACTGAGATGGCTATGACGTCAGTAGGTGATACATTTTTGCATGACCACAATTGTGTGACATCCTTGACTGAAGCATCTGTGCAGCACATGACTTTAATTATGTAATCTCTAGGTTTCCTCAGGGTATGAGCAAACAGCATTTCTCTATAGTTAAGTATCTAAAACATAATAAGCTCACATCATTTAGAACTGACACCAATTACTGACTTCCTTATGGTAGAATGGAGGCTCGTTCTGTGTTCCTGTCACCATATGTGAGTTAGTGATATTAATTTACCTATCTAGACTTTTTCTTTGTGGCATTTGTAACAGTTGGGAGAGTAATTTTGGCATGGTGTTGGGCACATGCATTTAAAACTACTGTTTTGAGCTAGAAGGCTCTTATTTTTTTTCCCTGGGGCAGAAAATTTGTCTAAGAAAACACTTCAAAGATTTTAAGGATATAGTTTAGAGAATATAGGAAAACTGAGTAATGGACACAGTCTTTCCAAAATATATAAAAACAAAAGATTATAATAACTGTTCCATCCCAGCGAGCTATGATTCTAAGACAGTTTTTAAAAATAGATTGGTGAAGACACAGATCAATATTTGTTGATCTATGCTGGTGTTAAAAGTGCAGCTCTGCATTGAGTGAGTTTGGTGGAGGGGGAAAAAGGACACTAGAAATTGAAATTTTTAATAGTTTACTGAAACATGATAAATCATGTTTTTGCTACAGGAGGAAGTCAGACAAAATGCTTGTATTCAGGGTGCAAAGGAGACAACCAGAAAGTCACAGACACACACTTCTCTTTTTCTTCAAGGATATGGTCTCTTTCTGAGAAATATTAATTAAATTGATTATATTCCTATCTCATTTATTTGAGAGTTCATTGGTTTTTTATCAAAAAATGGCAGGACAGAGGGCTAATGATCTCCTGTTTTACAAAAAGGTTATAGTTCATTTACCATGCATCTGAAAATTATGTCTTCCTTCAACACACAAATTAATCAGGCATGAGCTAGGAGCCAAGGAGGCTAAGAAAACAACTAAAAATAACAAACAGTCGTTATGGATTTGATTTTTTCTTTTGTATGTGTGCAGCTTCGATAGTAAAATCTGATTATAGTTCATTTAGGCTTCATTGGGTCTGGATGCTCATCAGGGCTCAAAATCAATTTGGCACAGTGCCTTGATAGCCGTGGGGGGGGTGAATCACTAGAGAAATTGCAAACTAAGTGACTCACCTTCCTGCAGAGTGATGAAAAAGAGGAAGGGACCAGTGTCATGTAAATTATAAACTGATAATTCACAAGCATCCTGTGGATTCTTGGGGCTGCATACCTCTTTTAAGTTTTAATGTGTTTTTATATTACCCTAAATACCTTCCTTTTCTGTGTATTTGGGAAGCTAACAGACATGTTAATCACTCTAGATTTTAGGGAATTTCATTACTTTGACACTGTTGAATTTAAATCCCATACCTTTTTTACGAAAATGAGTAAAGAAAGTAATGGAACCTTTCTCTCTAGTTTGCTAGCCTTGTCTAGGCTAAAATACTGGTTTTGGGTACCGGGCATTAGTTGTAGATCCGAGGAGGTAGACGTGTTTGTCTTGGTGCTGGCTCCCTAGATGAACAAGAAAGTAGAATCTATGTAAGTTTGATTTAGTGCTTTGTAGTTCTAGAGGGAACAAGTTAGGGGTTAGGGTACTAGGAGGTTCTCATATTATTTTCACCACCATTTAAATTATTTCAGGACCCGGTATTTGTGTAATGGTAGAATATGTTAAACGATGTCAGAGTGCAAATTCCCTTAAATACTAATTTGTCTGCTCTCCATGTAAGCCTTTATACTCATTTTATATTTTCTGCAGGAACTTTTAGGAACAGATAGACTACCTACATTTCTTTGGATAATGGAGTTCAACCTTGCGAGGGATTGTTCTATGCTCATCCTAAGAACACCTATATAGTCCTCTCCTCCCTAGACAGACTGACTTGGAAACTAAATACAGATTTTTTTTCAGACTAACTTGGCCTCCTGTAGACACTTTTGGTTTTTTTTTTAAGGAACTTACATAGTTTTTGCACTTCCCTTGCAGGAAATCGATACTTTATCGTCACGTGGAGATGAATCATTTGTGTTTGAGAGCTGCAGAACCCGGGACAGATCTTCTGCGAGGAGCCCTGTAGGCCAGTCATCCCTGTCCCATTGCTCTCACCACCCCTCCCTTCAGATTCAGCTGTAGCTATGTCTTTGAGAAGGCAAGTGAAAAACTTCATGAAAAACTACTCAGAGGCTGAAATAAAAGTCAGGGAAGCAACTTCCAATGACCCCTGGGGTCCCTCTAGCTCTCTGATGCTAGCTATCAGTGACATGACTTTCAACACAGCCTCCCTCTCAGAGATCATGCACATGATATGGCAACGACTCGGTGACCACGGCAAGAACTGGCGCCACGTGTACAAATGCCTTGCCCTGATGGACTACCTCATCAAGAATGGCTCCAAGAAAGTTATTCAGTGTTGTAGAGAGGGCTTGTGTAACCTTCAAATGCTGAAAGACTTTCAACACGTAGACGAAGCTGGAAAAGACCAAGGTAACAGTTTGTAAAAGATGAGGCAGTGTGTCCGTGAAGACAGGGGTGCGGGGCAGACTGTTTGAAACCCTGGACTGGAGCAAGGTGGTTCTTGGTTTTGAGGGTGTCTTGTTATGTAGTCTAGAATGTCCTGAGCTTGCCTTCCTGCTCTGGCCTCCCACATGGTAGGATAACAGGCAGACACCATCACATTGGGCTTGAACAGTTGTCCTTAACTGTCCCCACCACCTCTCTTCTTGACAGCCTGGTTCTCATTTCCATCCTCTGAGTGACACTTGGGAGAACAGTGCGTTTGTCCAAAACACACAGATCCAGGGACACCTCACAGAAAAACAAAGACAGCAAATGAAAGTAGGTGGCATGGCAGTTGTATATTGATGTCACCATAATTCATAATTATAATTAGATTGGAACTTAGTCATAAATAAGAGAAGTGTTTCTAGGGACTCTGAAGTCTTCAAAGGCTGTTGAGATGAATGCACTTAATAGAAGTGCAGAAACTCAGATCATAAAATAATTCTGGGTGTGGAGAGGAGATGACATAGGAAAGGGCTATAGAATATTGACGGGGACTGGTGCCAAATTATTTGCAAAGGTGAAGAACCAGCATTATTTTCTTTTGCATTAGAAATGTGAAGTTATAATTTATATTTAAAGTGATAGTATTTAAATCATGAGAAGAGAATAAAGGTCACTATACTCTATGGTTACTGCATTTTAAAACTACATTTTTTAATTCAAAAATTATACAAAAATAATTTCTATGTACCCTTCTCCACCTACATGAAAAATCTCTCTAATTGCTAACATCAGTGAAGTACATTTGCTACAAGTGGCAGCAAGCATTGATAATGTTCATAGATATGTGTCACACAGCTCTGTAGGTTTTGGAAAGGCATGATGTCCTATGTCTACCACCCGGTGTTAAACAGGGTCCCTTTACTTCCTTAAGTGTGATTATGACCCACCTTCACCCTCTTGGCCCTGGGTACCACTGGTCTTTAAAGCTCTACCTTTTCCAGATGTCAAGAGCTTACAGCCATAAAGCTTCTTTAGATTGGTTCTTTCACTGGCAGTATACACCAAAGTCCCTCTATATCCTTCCATAAATTGAGAGCTTGTTCCTGTGTTCTTTCCTCTTTATAAAAAGTTTGAGGTATAAATCACATACCATACATATTGCATACTTGGATATATACATATATATGCATAATATGTAGTTTTTAAATATAAAGTATATAATATATATTTTAAGGTTGTTTATTACATTAAAAGTTGTTTTAAAATGTAATATATATTTTAAAAGATATATATGCACAACACATGTGTCTCTTGCCTTTTGTGTTCATTTGTATTAATTTTTTGAGTCACAATCTCATGTGGACTTGAGTTTATTAAGTAGCTGAGTTGACCTTGAACTCTAATCTTCCTACCCCACCTCCCAAGTGCTGGGCTTAGTGGTGTGTGCCAGGCACATATTTACATTTGTAAGTGTGCAGTTTGGTGGTGTTAATTACATTTGCTGTGTTGTGAAGTCATCGACACTCTTGTTAAAACCTTTTTTTAAAAGTCACACTGTCAACATTAAGCAATAATTCCTCATTCCCATTCCACTAAGCTTCTACTTTCTGTCTTGATTAACTTGACTGTTAAGTCCACTCAAGTATAAGTGGGATTTTACTGTGTTTTTTTCCTCACCATCAGGCTTATTTCTCTTATCCAATGGTCCTCAAGACTCATCCATGTGGTAGGATGAATCAGAACTCCATTCTTTTGTGGTTGAATACCCTTTTATTTTCTGTGTTTACCACTTTTAAACAAATGTATTCATCTGCTGATAGACTCATGAGGTGTGAATGACGATGCAGTGAGCATCGGTGGGTCAGTCCAGGTCTGTGCTCTCAGTTCTCTGAGGTGTATTCAGAACAGTAGAATTGCCACAACATGTACTAATGCCAGTGTTTAGCCTTTGAAGAACTGCTGAACCCTGCGGAGGGACTGAACATCCCATCAGCAGTGCAAGAGGGTTTCCCTTTTCCAGTATCCTTGCTAACACTTGTTACTTTGTCCATCTTTAAACTATAGTTAATCCTGCTTCATATAAATATGGACCTTGCTGTGCTTTTCTTTTATGTTTCCTTAAGAATCATGATATCAAGCATCATGTCCCTGCTGGAGATACAGCTGTTGTCTTTTAGAAATGTCGTTTCAAGTCCTTTGCCTGTTTTCAAATGACTTCTTTTATTGTTGAGTTTTGAAAATTCCTTATATATCCTGGGCACAAGACCCTTACCAGACAGGTGGCTTAAAAGTGTCTTCTGCTAGTCTGTAGGTTGTCTCCTTGCTTTCTTGATGTGTCTATCCTCTGATGCACAAGAGTTGATTGTTATTTTTAAACAGAGTCTTATTATGTAGCCCTAGTTGGCCTAGAACTTTTCTCTGTAGACCAGGCTGGTCTTGAACTCATAGAGATCCACCTTCCTCAGCCTCCTTGGTGCTGAGATTAAAGGTGTGTACCACTATCTGTCTAAAAGTTCTAACTTTAGATGCAATCCAATGTATTTTTCATTTGGTTGCTTTACTTTGTATATCATATATAAAACAAATTATTGTCAAATACAAGGTCATAAAGGTTTATATTTGTATTTCCTTCTAAGAGTTTTGTAGTTTTAACTCTCTGTCTTAGTGTTTATATATTGCTATGATAAAACACTGTGACCAAAAAGCAAGTTGGTGAAAAAGGGTTTATTTGGCTTATACTTTCATATCACTGTTTATCATTGAAGGAAGCCAGGACAGGAACTCAATCAGGGCAGGAACCTGGAGGCAGGAGCTGATGCAGAGACCATGGAGAAGTGCTGCTTATTGGCTTGCTTCCCATGGTTTTTATTAGCCTGCTTCCTTATAGAACCTGGGGCTGCCAGCACAGGGAAGGCACCACCCACAGTGGGCTGAGCCATCCTCCATCAATCCCTAATTAAGAAAATGCCTTATAGCTGGATCTTCTGAAGGCATTTTCTCAATTTAGGTTCCCTCTTTCAGATAACTCTAGCTTGTGTCAGATTGACATAAAGCTAGCAGAACATTCTTTTATTCAGATCTTGGATTTCTGTTTAGTTTATATTTCTGTATACAAGATAGGAGCTGTCTTAGGGTTTCTATTGTTGTGGAAGACACTGTGACCATGGCAACTTTTATAAAAGGAAACATTTAACTTGGACTTGATTAAGGTTTCAGAGGTTTAGTCCATTGTTGTCATGGTGTGAAACATTGTGGCATGCAGACAGGCATGGTGCTGGAGAAGGATCAAGAGTTTCACATCTTGATCCACAGGCAGCAAGAGGAGACTGAGTACTGGGTAGTGTTGTTTGGGAAGGCTTAGGAGGTGTGACCTTGCTGGAGGAAGTGTGTCACTGGGGGAAGGCTTTAAGAGCTTAAGGCCTCACCCTTTTCCAGTCGACTTTCTCTGCTTCCGGTTGTGGTTGAGGATGTGAGCTCTCAGCTTCCAACTCCGACCACTGTGCCTGCCTGCTGCCATGTTTACCTATCATGGTGGACTCTTACCCTCTGGAACTATAAGACAGACAAGCCCTTCCTTCTGTAAGTTGTCTTGGTCATGGCATTTTCTCTAGCAATAGTGGTGAGTGTAGACAGCCCTCCCTTGTTCTTGCTTTTAGGAGGAAAGTTTTTAGGCATTAAAAATGATGTTAGCTATGGGTTTTCTTTTCTTCAGTTCTTTTTTTGTTTTGAGACAGGGTCTCACTATGTAGTTCAGGCTGACCTGGAGCTCACAATCCTCCTGCCTCAGTCTCCCAATGCTAGGATTACATGTCACAACACCATATTGGTTAGCTGTGGGATTTTTATATTTGCTCAGGTCGAAGAGGTTTTAATCTGTTCCTGATGTGTTAAGTGTATTTCAAATTTATTATTATTATCATTATTATTATTATTATTATTATTATTATTTATTATTATTACTATAGAGTGCACGTTTGTGCATGTGTGTAAAAGCAAATGCTTATGTGCCATAGCATACATGTGGAGGTCTGAGGATAGTTTTTAGGAGTCAGTTCTCTCCCTCCACCATGTAGGTTCTGGGGATCAAGCTTGGGTCATCAGGCTTGGTGGACGGCTCCTTTACAACCTCTGATCCATCCCCCCCTTGAGTGTATTTTTTTTCAATTTTTCCCCCTTGTGTGTATTTTAAAACTAAGAAACCATGTTGACTTTTGTCAAGTGCTTTTTATGCTCCCATTGAGCTGATTATGTGTTTTAAAAATCCTTTTATCTTGTGAATATGGTCTAAGACCTTGATTTTCTGCATTTCTAGCATAAATCAGATTTAATCATAGTGCACATCTTACTTTTTAAGTGTTCATTTTAGATTAGGTTTTGGGCTTAATGATGAAATTTGAGAACTCTTCCTGAGTTTTCATCCTGCTGTGCTGATTCATTCAGAAATTTTTATATAAATCAACTTTCATGAAGATTAAGTTTTTGTTCATTAGATGAGGTCTCACTATCTCACTGTATAGTCCAAACTGGCCTCAAGCCTACAGTTGTCCTGCCTTTGCTTCCTTAGTCCTGATATGAATTTACTGTTACAAGGTAAAACAATGCTAATTAAAATGTGCAGGTTTCCCTTGAAAATTCCAGAGCAGCTATTTTATCACCGGACTGAGAACTTGGATGACTCTGTAAAGCAGAAGGCTAGTTAGTCCCTGCTCTAAAGAGCCTATGAGCTATTCGGAAGAAGGGAGTTGAAAGGTATAGAATTACAAATATTCAGACAGACATGCATTCATTATAGCTTTTCCAGGAGTAAGGTGTGAGCATGTTAAAATCCATCTTTATAAAGGTTTTTCAGTTCTCTAACATTTGAGCTCAGGACCAAATATATGAACCAAGTACAGAGCAGTGTCATTGGTGTCTCTCAGTGATTGGTTACCTCTAAGATAGCAAGCAAAGCATTGATCAGAGCAGACACGTCCACATAG